ATTTTTGAAGCAATGCATCCAGGTTGTGTTGGAATATTTGCTTTTGACAACTCAACTTCTCATGGTGCATTTGCTGACAATGTATTGATTGCAAAACATATGAATTTAAATCCTGGAGTAAGCAACATAAATTGAGAGGTACTATATTTAATAATCAAGTTCAAAAAATGGTGCTTCCAGGTGGTCAACCAAAAGGTATTATGCATATTGTTTTGCAAGAGAGAAATTTATGGAGATGGTTATGTGCATTTTGTGGTAATAATTCAAATGATAATAATGATTGTTGTGCTTGTCATATTCTGAAAGCTCAGCCTGATTTTCTAGCTCAAAAACCATTAATTCAAGAAATAATTGAGCAGAGGGGGCAAAAGGTAATATTTTACCCAAAATTTCACTGTGATTATTCTTGGAATGGATTGAAAAGGGTGGTTCCAAAAGCATTAGATTCTGTATCATTGGAGCATATTAGGAAATATGCTAGACATTCGTTTCATTACATGGATGCTTATAGGAATGGGCTTACAGGTGAGCAAAGCAATATTTGCAATTAAGCAATATAAATCTCATAGAAAAGTAACCCACAATATTTTTAATAATGAAAATAATGAATAATTTTTTGAGTAAAAAACTGTAAAAAATTTCTGTAATATAAAATATATGTGATTTATGGATCTAACAACATTACACATGTGTTCATATATAATTTTCAAATTTAGCCACTTATTATGTCAATTGCTGGGACTAGACTAGATGCACCCTATAAAATGAAATAAACTAACAATTCTAATTATATTATTCAAAGATCTTTATTTCTGCTCATTAACCCTTCCTTCTATTTCAAATATAATGTAGATCAGTAAATAATAATAATGTAATAAAATGAACAAACCTATCATCAAAACCTAACTAACTCGTGTGTTTGGGCAGATTTGGTGCCCACAGTACCTTTGTTGTTGCACACTTGAAGTCCAACACATCATTTAAAAAGGTGTTAGCAAAAAAACATAATGTTTAATTAAAATGAGGCTTAAATAAAAAAATTTTTTTTGAAAAAAAAAAATAAACAAAACCTTAGACGTAAAAAGAACTTGACCACTACTTCTCTTTTACCTCAAGGAACAAATATTTTTTGAATCAAAAAGTGTGTTTATTTTTATGAATTTCAGGGGATTTGGAACATCTTAGTGTGTAACATTCGTATTGAACCCCCTACCCCTAGGCAAAAGATAGCGCTGATCACGTTACTCTTCAAGAAAATTCTTTTGCGTTTAACATAACTATAAATAAGTGAAGCGATTCTTGTAAAATTCAACCAAAGTCTTTATTAATTTCAAAATCTTGTAACTTTTTTGAAAAATAACAATTAAACAAAAATGCTTACCTTCACCACCGAATTTGTTGTGGATTGTTGGTTGGGCTCTTTCGTCCAGATATATGATACAAATTAAAAATTTGACAGAATAATTAATTTAATAGAACCTAAGCATAAATCATACAAACTTAATAGCGATAAAAAATATTCAGAAAAATTTAAAATCTACAGAAGGATTTCAAACAATTGTTTGGTAAAAAGACAGGATTGAATCCAAAATTTTCATTTAATGAAATGCCATTGAAATTTGCAAGTTACTTGAAGGAAAATAATTTGATAAGTATCATTATCTATGCCCTTAAAACCCTTGCATATAATATCTTGAAGATAACATTGTTAGAAATGTCGATTTTTCAGTACAAGGGTCCTGACCGGAATGTCATAAGGAATTTTTCTCGACATCTTTTGAATAGTTTACAATACCAAAAATGTGGACACGAGATTGCAGTGAAAAAGATTTTCACTTACAAAGCCGAGCGTATGTCATTTACCCAATTGCGAATATGTTGAAACCATGGCCTTCGTACGAAAACAATCTTATCTCAATCAACTCAATCAAGTGGAAATTCGGCTTTAACTAATATTTAGATAGAAATCTTCAAATTAATTTCTCCAGGAATATCAGATTCTAATTTAGAGAATGACCCAGGAATAGGTCACCGAAAACGATCAAGATACAACCATAACGAGAGTCTTGCCACTGAAGCGTTACAGTAAACTTTAGAGGTTGGAATCGTCCAAAAAATACTTAGTCGACTACTGGTTGACTATTTAGTTGATTATTTTAGTCAACTAAATTTATTTTTATAACAATAATAATAATATTTCGTTTTTTTTTTTTTAATTTGCAAATTACGAATTTATTTCCATTTGAATCTTTCACTTTTTCAAAATACTTCCACGCAAAACCATGTGTTACAATTCGTTTTTTAAAGGTCTTCTGGAACCACCACTTAAATCATTGGAACTTGAAGCCAATGAACTATTGGACCTTGTATTGGAATTGTTTATTCATTCACATGTAGAATTATCACCAACAACACCGCTGCTATTGTTGTCATCATCATATTGATGGTAATTGATACTCTTCCGCATAGAAATTTTCCATTTTGAATGATAAAACACAAAAATCCTAATTGGTCAGACAATAATAATAATAGTATTAGTAATAGTATTAGTAATAGTATTAGTATTAGTAGTATTAGTAGACTAAATAATCGATCGACTATTAGTTGTTCAAAAAAAGTTTAGTAGACTATTTTAGTCGATTCCAACCTCTAGTTACTATTACACATCCTCTTCAGACTTATATTCTTCATTGACAATGGATGCTGTCACAAGCAGAAGGAGTGAAAAGAACAAGATAAAATTCAATTTCACCTGTTTGCTTTGGTTGGATAGAGACCCTTTGAAGAGAAAATAATTTTTCATGTCAAATAATATGAAAAATTTCTCCCATAGAATTATTTTATAGACAATGTATTCATTCGTAACTTGACCAATCAATAAATATTAATTATGGTACAACAAGTTGATTCATATAGTTTTTTAATGTTCATGCTTATAGAAAATGTTGAGAAGCCCAAATTGCCCAAACTAGTT